AAACCAGTAATCAACCAATCAGAATCATGGATACAGTGGCATGTCTGCTAAAGACCAATCAGATTGTGAAACCAATAATCAACCAATTACAATCATGGATACAGTGGCTATGTCAGCTTGCGAAACTAGTAATCAACCAATCAGAATCACGAAAATGATCACATGATCCCCATAAAAGGAATATACCACAAACAATTGGTTCTTATCCACTTCCCACCCCTACAATACTACATACAAAATACTCGAACTCTTACTCCATCTGATTAAAGAACATAAAATGTACATTTAAAGGAACAAATCATTAAAATATTAGTTAATTACTTAAAGTAGATTAATTATCCTGTAGGTTTCAAGGAAGTGAACGTAAACGATTAAGCATAGCTCTATCAATAATATCAATATAATTATAATAATATTAATAACCATATATTTTTGGCTGTTTCAACTTACTCTTTCAATTTACTAAATATGTTTCTTAATAATAATTTCGTAGATGGATTCCATAAATCTTTCCTCCCTTCCCCAAAGAGTACTGATAATCGCATTTCATAACTCAGTTATTTCGGATTCTTAAAAACACTATTTGACCATTATACACTGGAATTCGTTCACTTTATGCCAAGAACATTTTAAAATGATTTAACATCAAAGAAGAGGTCATTTATAGGAGACGGTTTGAATTTGTCCATTAGTGACGTCATAGATCACGACATGGTAAACTGTGCGCGTGGTGTGTCTAGCTTTTTTCTCGGATGTGATTGCAACCATGAAGGCATAAATTTTAGTTTCAAAGTAACTTGGGTCGAGTTGGCATAAGGGAAAAAATAGTCATCATTTTGGAAATGCGTCTCCTAAAACAATCCCACGTTGCACTGCAAAACCAACTCGACCCAGTTTTTCCTCAACCTCGAAATGGCCAATACGAGAATGCTGAACAACATGAAACGTTGCGGTTGCAGTTTACATGCAAAACAATGCCAAGCAGAATAATGGAAATCCGTTTTTTTCTTTCAAGATTGGTAACAAATGCGCCAAACATAAGAAACCAGAACATTTTCTATTATGCAGCAGTCAATAAATTCATTTTCATAGCGCCATGATGGTCGTATTCGTTACCAGTCTTACTTGGAATGTCGGAAATGAAATTCACGTCCTCAAACCATTCTTGTTTTTCAATGACCAATCCTTTGAAGCTCTTTATGATTCTTACCCCATGATAAAAAGAAAAGACTAACAATATTTGATGTCATATTCGGAGGCAAACAGACAAAAATGAGGGAGCCCCAAAAGAATATTCTCGAACCATAATCTAACGTAACCACGCTTCAAGTACTTGCGCCTTATCCTAATTATATGATGTACATTTATAATGGTATTTTAAGTAAGGGTCTTGAGTCAGTAGAATAGAACAATGCATACTTTGATAGTCACGTGAGTAAAATTTCACCATCCACATTTGCACGTGCGCCCGGAAGGTAATACTTAAAGGTTGAAATAATTGCCAAATGGGGGTTCGTAAAAACTCGCTCTTAAATTCTTAAAACTGTTGTTAAGTTCAACAATAAGCTTTCACGAACGGTCACATTATTGAGCGAAGAGCTTATGTGACAATTTATTTGTCACGTCACGCAATAGTCCATCTAACCAACTGGTGAGCATGATTACGGAGTATTACGGAGTTTTTAGCCAACATTTTTTTGACTTAAGAAATAATCATAAAAATATCCGCGCATGCACAGATCGGACATGAAGCCAGATTTAGTATTAAAGGCGAAATCTTAAGCACGTGACAAATAGTCGTCTTTTGCCTTGGCTATCTCGAACGTATCTACAATATTAACCAAATTATATCCCCAACCAGCCTTCTACAATAGCACTTTGTACATTGCAACAGACGTTATCTTACAGGGTTTTACTTTCAATAAGCCCTCAGTTATCGACACAGACGAGGTATTTCGGGACTTCTGTGATGACAACTAAGAACGTACATCGAAAACTTTAGTATGAGTGTATATCTACAACAGGGTTGGAAGGAGTTTTAAGGTTGTAAGAATATAGAATGTTTGGGTCAATGGAAAGGAAATCTAGAGGGCAAGAACAGTAGATTTACAATCATACAAAATCATTCAAACCTAAATTTACAGTAGGGATCGAGAAAGACAACATTTCGATCATGCGCACTAAGAAACTATTCGACGCTTCTGCTATACTGCGAATGCACGAGAAATCGTCTTAATCACGTGCTTCTAAAATTTATGGATTAAAAACAGCGTGACATTCTCACGGACACGACACATTACCATTTAAACTATCAATGTCATGCAAATTCGAAAAGTTGTCACGGAATTTGAATCCAGAAAATAGAAGCAAACATGTCAGCCTTTTTATCATCCATATTAAATTCTTCCGTCGCGTAGAGCTGCGCAATAATTTAGTCAATAAGAAGCACGCGTGATAAAGACAAACGCATGCACTGCGCATGTGCATATTCTATCTCATCACGTGCTCTAGTCCGAATTTTTACAGCAAAGTGACTGCTGATTACTAAACTGCGGACTCGCTTAGCCTCATTTCTACGTATTTACATAAGGCTACCGGTATTCCGTGAAAGATCACGGTGAAATTGGCCCATTTTCTTCCTTACTGTATTGCGTGACGTAACGTTGGTGGCCTGTTCCTATGATTTTGAAGCCTGCTCGCAGCATTACTTGAGCCTGTTGGAAAGACTGCTTGATCTCCTTTAACCATTCTTGAAATTCTGTTTCCGTCTGAAGGCGTGAAAAACGAATAATTATTAAATGAAGTCATCTTTCCCACCACCATCATCGTGTTCACTACTATAATAAATCATCATTGACTACACCAACACCATCATACAATCATCGTGAACATGATCAATAGTATTAGCATCACATGATAAGAACCGAAACACTAGCAAAAGATCATGCCACACAGATACTTCGCTAAAATACTTAATCCGAATACAATCTTAAAATCCTCTCTGCAAGGAATAGGACGTTTCCATGATGGCGTCATTTTACTCCCACTACCAAGATGCTCCGCGAATTTTCTTTCTTATTTAAATTTGTATTCCCTCATTAGAATAGTAAGACAATTGGTGCTAATTAACTGAACAAAAGAAAATGTGCAAGAGAGTCTTGTAGTAGAGGACAATGACGCCATCGTGCAAACGTCCTATTTCCAGCGCTTAGTTAACTTATGTTAGCAACTAAAATACACAAAGTGACCTCACCTCAGCTCTTAACAAGTGATCTCTGTTGTCTTTGACAAGCGTACTGACTTTAATGCATTTGAATCCCTTAACGTGTGTTTCTTCTACTCCAGTTATATTCTCCATGCACAGAAGGCTGGGAGAGTTCTAAAAAAATTAAACCAACCAATCAGAAAACACAATGTCCAAATTCGCTTGTAAACAAAACGAGTTGGGACCTGGGCCCGAGATGCGATCATCGCAAAGCATGCATGAATTGTTTGGTCCATAATGCAATTCGTTTTGGATAAACAGAGTTCCTTTTAATGCACGAGTGTGCGTATTTTACGCACATTTGTGTGTTATGCACTTTTCATAAACGTGCGAGCTCTGTGTCTGCGAGCTGCACGCTGAAATTTGTTTTTTTTTATACTGCCGTCGATCAAACCTAATCAGTCGGTAACCTTTAATACTTTTGACTGGCGGCAGCGCAAAACCACATGCAGTGTTCGCATGTTTATGAAAGTTGCAGCAATAGCAATCTTAGAAAGTTATCTTTGAACCAATCATAACGCGCAAGATCATTTCTTAATAAATTAACATGCGTGCCTTTTTTATACGTACGAAATTTGCTCTAGATTCTAGAGCAGGGAAGGTGCTACTGCATTTTTTGTGTCAGAAACGTCTCCCAAAGTCGAGAATAAGAAAGAAAGTGGATACTGTGATTGCAAATATTGTCGAATCACTATTTATATTCTACTAACCATCTGGTCTCCTCTCCATTCCAGTCTGTTTGGGAATAAGTGAAAGTATCTTTTTTGCCAACTGTTCATGAAAGGTCCGCCAAGTTTGTACAAATATCCTTCAAGAAGGCGATCGCCATCCTCGGCCATTTCTGGAAAATAAAATTCAGGGAATAAATTTATTTTTAAGTAAAATCACTTAAGCAATTCTCTACAACTGATGAATTGTGATGTGAAGTTTCATTAATGATTAATACGGCTGACATGCATGCACTCAGCAGGTTGAATTTAACAAAACGTTTTCCGTATTTCACATCGATCGATCGATTGAATGGATGGAAGGATGGACGGATGGACGGACTTGGGACGCACACACAACAAACGAACGCACGCACGAATGAACGAGCACCGGACGAATGAAAAAACCGAAAAACTGATGAAAGGATGAAAGAACGAATACACACGCATGAACGACCATGACTACGACCACGCACATAAGAACGAACAAACGCACAAATGAACGAACGAATGGACGGACAGATGAATGAACGGACAAGCTGAGACGAAAGGTTTTAACTGAAATAATTTATAATTGAAAAGTAAGGCTTCATTACCTGTGATAGAATTTTGATGTTTTGTCTTTTTCTTTGCCTCCATCTTGTCGTGCTCCTGATTAACAACCTCAAAAACGGTTTCTGAGGGAAAATAAAACCAGAAACGCGTTTAAATATCTCGTGGCGCCTGACAGACATATTGATACTGACGTAAATTGCCTCAACAGATCCTTTTACTTTAAATGTACCACTATTCCATTTCACGTCACTCCCTCTTGTATTACTTTGGTAACACTTGAGAATGAAAGATAAAATTATATGATAAGATTGATCACGTTACTATAGATGGGAAAAATTACGGTCAACTGAAGAGGCCTTTTGAAAATACGATATACCACTAATGATTTGTTCATCAGGGTTATTTATAAGCGAAATTGAAATTTATCAAATTGATTGGAAGAGTTATTTTAGGATTTTTTTTAGAAATACAATTTCGCTCGTTATATCATCATCATCATCATTATCATCATCCTCATCAACTTTCATTCATTAAAGGAAAAACAATTGGGTTACCTGTGTCTAAGTGGACAGACCAACTCTCTACCAACGATTCCGAGGTTGAGGGAGAACTGGTTCCAGTTGGCATTGCAATACATTATAGGGCTGTTTTAGGCTGTTATTCTTATTGCGCATTTTTGGCTATAGCGCGCTAGAAATTTTCGTCTATGGAATTTCGTCGGGCATACGCAGTAACAATAATAGATCAAAGGGTACTGGGATCGAGTGTGCAGCGATGTGTTTTTCTATTCCGCGAAAGGGTTGCGCGGGTACCCTGTGGTAATGCCAAATGTGACTAAACGCACGTACCTGCAATTTCAGCTTGCCATCTTTCAGAAACAACGAGATTAAAATCTTTGTAAATTTCCTGATCGTTCTCGGACATCTAGTTCAAAAACATAGGTAAACAAGAAGTAAACTTCAATAATATCTTTTTTCAACTCTTAACACTATTCATATATCTACCGGTCAAAGTAATTCCAGAACCGACACGTTTCCAAACATTTTGGCTTCCGTTCATGAAATTTAAAGCTATTTGTACAATAATATTTCTATGTTTAATATTTCGTTTAATTAAGAAAAGCAAAAGTGACCTGCAAATTGCCAAGGTCGTAGAAATTAAATACGAAGATAATTCAGAATTATAGATTTATATAAATTAATATATAAAATTTCAAAGGATTGAAGAGGTTTAAAGTAGGAATTAGAATATGATCGCATACTATCAAAGTAGTTTAATTCAAATAGGTACAAAATAGGTAAACGATGAACATGATGCCATCTGAAAAACATCTGTTGTCTGTCTGAAAAACCGAACATCGAGTTACAAGGAAGATAATCAGAATCCCTCACAACTGTTGGGAAATGCCCAGAGGGAATACTTTGAGAAGATCATTAGTAGATTTTTTTGCTGGCTTTATTTGACTTCTTTTCAAGTAAAAGCGGTTTTTTATCGAGCTGCAAACGTCAAGAATCCTGTTCTCATTGAGTGTCCCAAAGAAAGTGAGCTAATATTACTTATATATTGCGTACTTTTGAAACGTGATGAGATGACATTCTGTGATATCATGATCTTTACCTTGATCCCCTTAACGTCGTCTTCATCAAAGGAACCGATATCAAATGCATCTGCAGCGTTGACTTCTCCTCGTGGTGGGATCAATGGAGGAGGATACTAAGATGCAAATGAATACAAACTGCAATCAGAGATTTTCTCTTCTTGTTTGATTTATAAACTTCGCCACATGGGCAGCGAAACCCCACAGAGCAAACTTCCACTATGGGGGGTCGTGTTAGTGGGGATCGGAAGGGTGAAATGTAAGCAACAGATAAACCATAGTTAATAGATATGGATAAACCCTACTTTTGACGCTACATCTCGTTAGAAATAAAACTATAAAATATCGATGGCAATACTTGCGCGTTATTGTTTTTAAAGAATAAATAAATAAATAAATA